CGCTAAATATGTTAAAATATGTTTCACTTTTGTTATGTAATAAAGAAGACTATGTGGTCTAATTTGGTATGGGCTTCGTTTGAATAGTTTTCACGTTCTCACAGTGCTTACTTATACTCATACTTCAGTGTGAAAAAAAATGAATATCGACATCGGTAATAACAGTTATCGGCGATATCAGAAATCTTCATATCGGATATCGGCCACAAATTTTAATAGCGTGCATCACCAGTATCAATATAACGGCAAAGAACTGTCGCCTTTGTGAAGATATCATGGATAAATGGGGTACTTAGAAGAGAACCTAGCATACATGTTAGAGCATATTAGTGCATGTGAGTCCCTCCTTTTGAAACGGTCAGTGCAGACATATGGCAGAACGAACACAAGTGAGTCAAAGGAGACTCATGTGAAATAAAGAAAATGTTACTGGAGTTGACAACGACTTGTTAAGGCCATACAGTGTGTTTAACAATGCTAGCATGGGCTCATGGTTTTAACAGTAAGTCGTGTTTCATTGCTATGCGTTAAACACATCTGCCTCACTATTGTCTTTATTTGTGCATGTTTTAGAAAGTCCTTGCGGAAAAATGCACAACCTTCACCAGTGCTTAACAAGGTGTGCAATGGCAAAATGGTATTGCTACTCTTCACATCCTAAATGCTATTTTACCTCCACGACATAAAGTTTGACATGATTTTACCTAAAATGTTGTATTCAGCCAGAGCGGTTAGTAACAAAAATGTGCTAAAATGATGTAGTATTAAAAGTATTCAAATCTATTTTTGTGGTTTATTGCTTTTTGTTTTTTCAGTTGCCCAAACTTTATTACAATCCAGTGATCACTGTTGGCACAAATGACTAAAACCACGGTAAGAGTAAGTATGCAAAGAGAGATACTGCTTGTTTAGACTACTTCAATTAGTAGCTGCAAATTGCAATGTCTGCTACAATACCACCAACACCTTTTATCCTTCATATAAAACTATATTACTACCAGCCCTGCTTCGGATTAAAATTGCTCTTTCACAAGGTTAAGTGCATGTTAAGAGGCTTGGGCATGTTTGGTCACTGAAACTACTTGGCTAGGTTCTGGAAAATATCATGATTTTCGTTCAAATGTACTGTTTGACAACATCTTGGAAGCTCCTGCTTCATTCTTTTGGGTTTCCAAGGTAATGAGTCTCACCCCATCTAATATATCATTGGTCGGCTAAGAAAGGATGACAGTTACAAAGCAACGCAATAAATGGCAGAGATATGCTGATTAAAATGTTTTTTTTTTTTTGTAATTTCAAAAACAAATGTAATCTGGAAGACAATATGTTTCCCTCAAAATGTAATTGCGGATGCACTTTAGCTGTATAGGAAGATCTTGTTTGGGAGACAGGGGCTCATTACAACAGGTTCTATTTTCAGTATATAAATCATCTTTGTATCATCAGTTTGATTACACTTATCTTGCAATACAGAGACAAGGTAATGTCTGTTCATTTGAGCAAACACACCAGTATCTGCCGCAAAATAAACTTTCAATTCATATCCTCAGTCTTTGCTCATTACTTTGCTGACTATAATCACAAAACAGTGGTAACACCTCCACCCACAGACGCAAATTCTCTCCTTTTTATGTAGGAAATCTCAGTAGACAGCACATCCGCCTTCTATGTAAGCTGAGAAAGGAGATTTTAATCTGCAGCTGTAATCAAAATAAAATTCTTTGAACTTCTGTTTATATACATTTAAACTGTTTTCCCAATTATAATTGGGTAGCAAAGTAATCACCGCACAGCACTGGTAATTCAACACCAACAGAGTTATATTCAGCACTTTGAAAGTATTCCCATTGCTCTACGGAATTAAAGCTACATTTTAAACTTTGACAGCAAGTCTTTCAATAGTTAAAAAAAAAAAATCACAACAGTCCACACAGCTCAGTGTTTACACAACGTTATTGCACAGTTTCAAGAGTTCACGGCATCAGCGTATCGTTTAGTTTAATTGTTGCCATGTCAACAGTGCAGTTGATGTCGGGTTTGACTCGATATTTAACTTTAGTGGAGTTGATTCTGTGTTTTAAAAATCACTGTAGGCACTCCATTTATAATCCCCAATTCCACTCCCACACACAATACAATACCATACAAAATAAATAAAGAAAAGTTTGGAGTTCAAGTGAAATTATATTGTGAACACGCACCACATATAAAAACAGTAACATGGAACTGGTTCTCTGTAATAAGTCACACAGCGCTGCGACGTGGCACAGAACTGCCCGTTGAAGTTAAGGCTTTTTTCAGCAAACACGACAAACAAGTTGGACCTCTGGGAGTAACACCAGCTCTCCTGTGAAATCAACACTACAGAGATGTTTGCAGAAAATGATATTTGACTATCTCTAAAAGTCTCCTTCAGTAAAACTTACCGTGTCTTGTAGATAAATTTGATTTAACAAGAGCTGGAATTATTCTAAACTCCAACACTGAAAATGTGTAGCCAGATTCAATTCAGTAGAAAAAATAAAATAAAATTTGACTGAACTGCAACATAGTCAGGAATGTTTACATCAAAAGTCAGCGGTTAGATTTGGGCAGCAAAAGTACATTAGTTAGAGCTCGAGGAAGATTGTGGCTTTGGAAGTGTTGTGTCTCAAGTCAAGGTGGAACTTTAAACTTGTCTAAGCTTAACCAAGTCTCGGGACATTTTCATGCTTTATTCATCAGAAGGGAATATTATATAGCAAAAGATAACTGAAATGCATTGTCAGTGAACATTCTAAGCCAGATATTTATGTATTTGCTGTTAAATTTGTTGCATATAAACACAATTCAGTTAGCTTCAACTATATACTGCTGAGGATTCATTGCTCTTTCATTTGTTGTTTAAAGTTGCAAAAAAAAAAAAAAAAAGGTTAAGGACAGTTAAAAGAAACCAATGTTTAGTGTGGGTAGCAGACGGCAGGAGAAACACAGTCTCCGCCATTTTACGCCCTCCCACACTCACCCAACACTTCACCATGGATTTAAAAAAAAAAAAAAAAGTCTCTATTATAGGTTAAACCTACGCATGCCCTTGATGTGCTGCATTCATCTTTTATGACAAATTTAAGGATCTTTAATAAGAAGAGAGAGAGAAAAAAAAAGCAGACTCCCGCTTTCAATTTGAGCTTGAATACTGGAGGTCCTTCAAACTTCCAGTGTCAGCGACATGCAAGATCTGTCGTTTGTTTTACAAGGACTAATCTATGTATTGGCACTTGAATACGGAGGGTGTTACAGCTGCTTCCATTCGTTAAAAGATTATGACTAATAGCTGTCAAAGCCAGACGAGACTGGGGGAATCTTGGATGAAGTCAATATCAGTGTCACTTCTGAAACTGTCTAATAACTGAAATCCAGCACAGGCAGGGGAAAAAAAAAAAGTGTTTGGTATATTTACAATATTACAGCACAATAATGATGGATTTCTGTTAGAAGAGGCATTCTACACAAGGAGGGCAGAAAAAAGCTAAGTTTACTGCAAAATTCTCCAAAGGAAACTGAGTATTGAGGCTTTAATTTTTACCCTACAACTGGATTTGTCTGACTGCTGAGGCTTTGCACAGTAGATTTACCATTCTCAGGTGGAAGATTAAAGTGAATACAATTCAGCTTTTTGCATTTCTGAGTAGTGTTGATCATCTGTGATGCATCATGCAAGTTGAACCATGAGCAGCAGAATTATTATTTTTTTTTTTCCTGACTGGAAGAATTGTGGGTTTGTGGTAGGAGTTCATATTTCTCCCTGGTTGACTAACGCAGGCTAAGCATTCTGACACAGCTGCAGGTGCAGGTAAAGCATCCAGATCGGTGTAGTGCAGTAAACTTTCACTCTCTCTCCTCTGTGTGTGCGTGTGTGTGTGTGTGTGTGTGTGTGTGTGTTCATGTGCGGGGGCGGGGTCACGTCTTCTGTTTTCGCGTGTATTCATGTTTCCATGTGTGGATGTGTGTACACCATTCCACTGCAATGATGCCTACTCTCCCAAAGGGATAGTAGGGCTGTCCAGATAAATCATCTTCAGCCGGGCAGCCGCACCGCACGGGAGAAAAGACGGAGGGGAAAAAAAAAAAAAAAAAGAATACAATGAAGTAGCAATGTACATGAGCTGAATCACAAGGAAAAAAAAAAAAAAAAGCAGCAGCATAAAGACGAGATGAAGGGGAATGATGAAAGTGGGATCATTACAAAAGGATGCAGAGTGTGAAGCATCCTAGTTTTTGAATGAAGTTGTAGGTGTGATGCATGGCCAGCACTTCTTTTGTGTTGCTGAACATTCAGATAGTGATAGAAGAGCCAGAGAAGAGGGAGTGAGAAATAAGGAGATGGAAAGACAGCTGCCAGCCGTATTGTTGAAGCCTGGGGTGATAGAAAGCAGTCCCCAGGATGCCATGAACGTGTAATTAAGGCGGCCAGAGCCAGATGACTCCTCCTCCTACTACTACTCTCTGATTCCATGTTTCTTGCGCTCAAAACCTGTTAATGCATACGGAGTGGGGGCTGTGTGTGCAGAGGATCACGGAGGCTTCAAATGTTCACCTTCATGGTAATGTGCTGGAGATGAGCAACGCTACCTGGGATGTACGTGCCACCATGGCTGGATTAAGGAGCGGTCTGGCCAGATGTTAGTTAAATCTTGAACACTGAACTCCTTATCCTGAGCAGAGTCACTGATTAGAGATTGCCACTACCTCCTGTCCTCATGTAATAATACACTGACCCCGTCACCCCCGGTCACTCCAGTCTGGCCTCATCTGACCAGCAGCAGATGGTTGGGAATGAAGTTGTATAGCAGCGAGCGGGAGTTCGTCTTGTGGCGTGCTATCACAGTGTCAGGAGGTTGTTTGATTTTACAGCTGGTTTAATATTTTACAATTCACCAGCGCTTGCAGAACAAATCCAGTTTGAGAAGAGTTTAACAAGAAAGCTGTCCTGTGGATTGATCTCGATTTCGAGGGCTTACCGGACAGTTGATTGATACACAAGGTCTTCACGTCTGCGGTAGTCCTCCATGTGGGAGTAATTTGTATTAAACATAGCATCGTAGGTGAAGATTTTCTGCTTTATGGTACCTCCATCTGTGACCTGTGAAGCACAAAGAGAGAGCATTAGTAAGGTGATTCCTGTAATGATGGATGACAGGACCTGCCTTTTCGCCCCCAGAGCTCCTCCTATGAATAAACAGTTGTCCCATGGCCTACAGTGTCGATTCTGCCCGCAGTTACCTCATTGATTCATGACGAGTTCATTCCACATAACGTCTGAAAGCAAAAGGATTGAAAACCTGCTGACATGATAACATCACAGGGACAGTCTCTTAGGCAGCTAGCGGCCTGTGCTCATGCACATGAGTCTTAAGTCTTAATGAAGACTGACACAGCGTGGTGTTCTGTATGTGTCAAGCAGTCTGCTTTTCGCAGAGGTAATGGCATGTGACGAGATACTGCAGAGGTAACGGGATAGGATATTCAAAACACTGGTCTCATCTGTTTTTTTTTTTTTTTTTTTTCCTGGGCACGGTAGATGATGGAGTAGCTCTTTCCTTTCTAATATTCACAGGAGTGTTAAAGTCACTTAGCATTTGAATGACGGTGATTTCTCCTCTTCTCAGAAGCCACAGACAGCCATAAAGGAAACGGGGTGACAGGATTTTAATGGAGCCACTAATGCTGCTTTGAAGAAAGAAATTGTTGGTGGGCCAGGGATCCTTCTTCCGTTTGCCAGTGAAGATGCTATCATTCTGATCCAATCCAATCCCTTTAGCGAGGTAAACAATGTCAAAGCATTTCATGATTAGTCCGTATAATGTATAAGGTACACACTGCCGCATAAGAGACTAAGCTAAATTGTATTTGTATGAGCAAACAATCATTCCCTGTGCATGTAGCTAGCTCATATAACCTCTTGCCTCTAGAGAAGGCATGCTGCCTCAGGCTTAGTTTGCTAAGTGGCGCTGCACAGGGAGCTGACGACGCTTGAAACAACCAAGAGCAACAGGAGATTGGAAATACAGTACATCACCTTCATCACCTGTAACAAACAACCTCTTATTGGCTACATGTCACCTTCGTCCTCCGATATTTGAAGGATTTTTGCAGAATTTGAAATACTGAATGTTAGGACGCCTGCTCGCAACATTTTTTTTTAAGCAGTCCTCCACTCTTGCATATGATTTTTATTTTTGTTTTTGTTTTTTTAAAATTTTTTTGACACCATTTGACTAAGAAAGGTTTTAGCACCCTTGTCAACAACCTGAGAGTACTGTGGCCATCTGCTCAGTTTGAATATCAATTCAGAGGTGTAGACACCGAGCGATGATGTGGCTTCATTTTGAGCTACAGAACAGGGAGCAGCAACAGAAAAAGGTCAGCCTCTAAAAGCAAAGCCGTGTTTGAAAATTGTGCTTTCCAACCTCCCAGACTTGTGTCGCCACTGTAGTTACAGTAATGGTCCTTTTAGAAACATCACCATAGGGAGTTAAAAGGCATTTCTGTCTGACATAGCTTTGGAACACATTATGTGACACAGGTTGGACAGAGTTTTAAAAGAATACCGGCCTTAACATTCTTCGTATAGAGCGCTCATACATAGGGATTACATATTGGCATCATAGATGTGATAGTAACAATGAGCCTTTTCTGTTAGCATGACATTAATAAAACAACAATGAAACATGAATGAGGACTGTATACAACATTTAGAACCACTGGGTGTTGCACTTGAGCACCAGCATCTCAGGGTAAAACAGACAGATGTGTTTGGCCACACCTTCTCCCTTCCTTCGCTAAAACCAGAAAAATTGTGCACACAAGAGCTAGAGCATCGTATGTTCCCCCAACCTGTCTCTTCCTTCCTTCACTCTCAGTCTCTAAATAAATCTGGGAAGGGTCAGCAGTTTCAAAGGGAAGGGACTTGCACCAACATGTACGAGCGGTAGGATCGGCTACTGAAACACAGAATAGAGAGCACAAACAGTGGGAGCTCTTTCTTTTCTGCGGATGCTATTAGGGCACTACATCCCAAATGGCTGTTCGCCGCTGCACTATTGCTGCGTTAGTGTTCAACATCTCGCCGATCTAAGATGTGGCCCGGGCTCATATGGGGTTAGGAGATCTTTGGTATCGCTATGGGCTTGCAAGCCTCGAAAGTCAACTGTAACATTTTAAAATCAATGCAAACAACTAAGAAAGAGCCAGTGCAAGAAGGCCAGCATTGGAGTATTGTGGTGTTGTTTACTGGAGTCAGCGAAAATCCTTGCAATAGCATTTTGAACCAACCGAAGCTGATGGAAGGAAGCCTGAGTAATGTAGAACATTGCAGAAATTTGGGGGGGGAGGGAGAAGAAGAAGAAGAAGAAGAAGAAGAAGAAGAAGAAGAAGAAGAAGTCTGGCAGATTTGAGCAGATATACAAAAGATAGGCAGAACCTTTTTTTTTTTTATATATTAATTAATTTGGGAGGAAAAAAAAATAAAAAATCAGTCATCAAAACAAAAGCCAGAATTTCCATCAATCAGTATCATACCTGTACTGGAAGCTGCCAGACAGCACATTTTACTGGATTAATAATAATGTGTCACAGAGACATAAAGTGATGTACATTACAGATTAGTGCAGCATGCGGAGAGCGTTTATAACGATAAATTATGCAGCAAAACTGTCACTGAATTTTGAATGGTTCATTTCCAGTTACTTTCCTGTTAGCTGTCTCAGTTTCACACAGCAATAGTGCTCCAGAAAGCCATTAAACCTGTGAGACTAGATCAAATATATTTACACTCACTAAAGGAATTTTCCCTAATTTCTATTTGTGTTCTTCGAAAATGTATCCGCTTATGTCCCTGACAGTCTCAGGATATTCTGCTATTACAAATACGTGAGAACAACCAAAGTCAGACAGCAAAGCAAATCGTTTATATTGGTCCTCATTGTTATTTCTGAGATTGCTTGTTTTAAGCAACCCAAAATTGTCACAACAACAAAGATTTTAAGTCAAATGTAATTTTAGGTCTATGCATCACAAACATGTAAACAGTTGTTAAAATTGTAACTTTCACATTTGGCAATAGCTTACCAATGCTTTTTTTTTTAAAGTGCTGTATTAACTATTCAGTACAGCACATGAGACACTGTCAAAGTAGGATAGAATACAGACACAAAAATCCTTGCAACAGTATTGAAAAATGTGAATTTTTGAAATAGGACTACTAAGAAGGAATGCTATATGTACACATGCATGCACGTGTGGTGGCTTGTGTTCACTGTGCAAAACCAGTAGCATTCCTAGCATTCCATGTGAGCAATGAAGTATTTGACCCTCAGGTAACAGTGGCTATGAACAGCTGACTATGGCTTCATATAGCATCAAGCCTAAGCTGACAACATTTTCGCACATTTCAGATACATTCAGCCGACCTTGTTAGCATATATAATCAACTTGCTCATTTATATTAAAAATAATAATAATATTTTGTTCATCTCATTCTTTTTTTTTTTTAATAACAATGTAGTTTTACACAAAAGCACATAAACAATTCTCTAATGAAATTTGATAAAAGCATGAGCATTGGTTCCTTTGAGAACTACACTTCAACCGCATCACTTCTGTCGGAGCTGTAACTCTAAGTTGACACCACCGCGATTGCCCGAAGGCAGTTATTTAAAATATGATCGTGGGTGTTGATAAGGTCTAAGGTGATACAGTCCCTCCATGGGACCAATGTGCTGTACGTTGTGAGTCAGACTCAACTCAATCCAATGACCTTGCTGTGATGACACCTTGGATGGAGATGACTTCAGACGTGGACAGGTTCACACTGAGTAGCTTCCAGGATAGATAATTTTTATTAGCGCTGAGCAAAACCATTTCTGATGGCAGAAATAGACCTGGGTAGTTAGTGTGAGAAGCAATAATTTCATCTAGCAGAGCTGAAAAACACAGGACATTCCACCTACAGAAACTCACCATTACCACAATCCAGGAGAAAAGACATCAGTGTTTAATTACCAAGTCTCCTCCAAGTGCAGGGGGAAAACATCAGAGTAATGAAGAAGCATTGAAAAGGATACAGAGACTTGTGGGTTTATCCCCTCAGGATAGATTGTATATTAATATATAGATTTTTAAGGACGCCATTAGTTTAATCATTACTTTAGATCAGATGCACAGGCATGCCTTAGGCTGCATGGGGCATTCACATCATCTAACCAAGCAACACTGAACAAGAACTGACACTGTTACTTTGGCATACGGGGGAAAAAAATAGATATGTACTTATGAGAAAGTGCAAATTTAAAGAACGGTTTACAAATCCAATACAAGAAAGCTCACTTCTCCTCTACTCAAACACTGTGGGTGAGTTTAGAGTTACCAGACTACATAAACTGATGCAAATATGATTTGCTGGCGCTGAAGTACAGAGCAGAATTGGAGACATTTTCTGGCTGTCTCCCCTTTCACAGTCCATCTAATCCAACAAGCGTTACAATTGCTTCCGTCGTCCCCCTGAAAAACCTGGTGGATAACGCAGGTGTCAGATTTCTGGTTGTCTGGGAGCCCTTAGGACCCGAGAGAAGATTTCTGCCTCAAACAGGTCTTCTCGGTTGCACCCTCTCTTTATCTATCCCTCCTTAATGATTTCACCTCTTAATTAAGGCTGACCCGAAGACCCCTGTGTAATAAATTTGAAAAATTCTGCACATCACTGGATGTCTCTCTATCCCCACAAGAGGACCTGTTTCCGGGATAAAGGATCGACTATGGGAGGAATAGAACACTGAGAAGGGGGAGAGAGAGTGGGAGGGGAAAAAGAGAGCCAAACAGTGCCAAAATGGCTGTACAAGAGGGAGGGCAAGAGGGAGATGAATACTCTTTGATTGCAGAAAAGCACCGTTGGGGAAGCAAAGCTTTGCTACAACTGCTTTGTTGAATCCAGGCCATGCAATGCATGAGGCACAGAGGCACCAAACCTCTCCAACCCCTCCCTTGTCTGTATTGTGGCAGATAGTGGATACTGGCTGAAGGAACAGCCAGCAGGCAAAAGAAGAGTCCATGACAGGTAGCTGACAAGATGGGGTGAGCTTGAAG